CTTAAGCTTAGTAAAGCTTCACTGCAGCATGAGGTATCTTTCTTTCTTTTTTTTTCTTTTTTTTTCTTTTTTTTTTTTTTGTATCTTTTCTTGTCAGATATTGTCCCTATTTCAATAGGGAGCAGTAAAAGAGTAAGGTCAGTGACCAATTTAGCAGAAGCTGCAGTGCAGGCCCCAGTATCCTACTCGGTGGTGTGTAGCTGACCTAAAATGAAGCGCTATCAGGCAATCCCTGGAAGCAGCCTAGTTGTTTTAACCTGGCTTGGTGAGTASTTAAAGGGTTTGTCAACTCCCCTTCTCAGCCAAGAAGGTGTTACTGACAAACAGGTACCGCCTGGGYTTCTGCAGTTAATTTGTGATTAGCAAGGCATTCTCTTCTCATTGTGAATGTAAGTATGCCTGCAGGCAATGCCTGCCTCAGGAAAGCTTTTGTATTCTTCAGGAGACATCCTTCTCCTGAGCTGCTTCTGAAATCTCTTCCTTTGGGATTAAGAGGCCTAATCCTTTAGGTCTTCTTATAATGTTCTGATTGGCAAATCTGGGCTCATGTGTGGAATTTTGGTCTGTGTCACRTCAGTGTTTTTTGTAGGTAGGTTAAAATGTCTTCTGTGATGGCCAGCTTCCTGGAGAGAGGAAGCAGAAAGAGCTGACCTGTCAATCCACTTATCCACTGATGTCCTTACAGATGAAATGTTTGTATGGAGTTGAGATTTCAAATTATACATCTGTTGGCCCACTGAAAACGTGGCTTGCAGTACTGAAGATATGCTGAGCAAACACAGCATGCAGTTTGGGACTTTTTCACTTTTTTTTTTTTTTTTTGGTAGCAATTGTGACAGTAATGTCATTTTTTTGAAGGTATCAAACAAATGAAGAATTTCATTCCAGCCCAAAGATTGTGTGAAAAGCCTGAATATATCAGGTTATTGTGTATATCTCTGATGAAATATCAGCAGAAAGCCCCTGATCCTGGCTTGGGCTGGTTACAGCCAGGGAGATGGATGCAGTAGCTTCCATAGACCCTGGTGCTGGCCGTTGCTATTCAGGTGGGTGTTAGCCGTGCTGGATGATGCAGCTTAACAGAGCACAAGATGGTCCCCTGTAGTAGTCACGTGCCTGCAGGATATGGTGCTCTTCAGCTTCTTGCAAAAACAGCCAAAAATGCAACAGCTTGATTTGAAAGAGCTGTGTGTTGTGGCCTGGGGCTCAGCCAATTCAGATTTTACAGGATTAGGTCAAGTATTTCCTAAAGTAAAGTGGTTCTCCTGGATTTTAATTATGCTGCTTTGCTAGCGTTTGTTCTTAATGGAGGATGATTTGATCACTTACCTTGAATGGCATGAAAGAGAAGAGGTAGTTTCAGATGGCTGGGACTTGCAATTGCTTTTTTTTTTTTTTCCCTTTTTTTGGTCTCTCATTTTAGCCTACACACATTTTGCATTATTGTGGGATATAAACCAGACTTTGCAGGGCTCTATTAGTTACAGATTCCCGGCTTGTGCCAGTTGGACTGTCAGTGGCAGCTTAGCTTTTTAAGACTTAGTTGACATATGGTTGTTGAGAGAATATGGTGTGGTATTGTGAACTCAAAGTCACTGTTATGGATGACAGCAGCAAGCACACCCTTGAAGCATTTTTTCCCCTTTCTAGAATCAGTGGGAGATGCAGCTTTAAAGTATTGTTGCTTCTTTACCTTCTGCCAATCCCAAACTTACTTTTGATCATCTGCATTCAGGAGAAGTCTGTCCAGGTTGGGAAAAGCTGCTCTCCCTTTCTTTCTCCTTCCTCTAGGTTCCTGTGATACGAGAATCAACACCATGTCCTTTCAGTGTGCCCTTACAATATGAGGAGCATCCTTCAGACCCCTGAGCAGCATCCTTCTGATGTTTGCCAAATTTTATTTTCCCTTAGAATGATCCTGTCCAATCTAGCCATTGACTAGGATGCAAGTTGCAACCTGGAGTGAACACACTGAGGCAGTCTCGTGGGAAACTAGACCTTAATGTCCCTGCGGCTTTAGTCATGGAAGAATTGTTGTAGCCTTTGAATTCAAAGGATGAATTTAATTGCATGTCAATTAAAAAATCTCTCCGCATAATAGTGTCTTAACRAAACAGGTTCTAAAGTTTGTAACTTTCTTTCAGACTCTAAGATTTGTTATAGTCCATGCCTTGATAGACAGTAATTTTCAGTTCAGATTATGCTTTCTGGAGCCATGTTCCAAATATCATTGGGTATTTTAAARACTCCTTGTTTTTTTGTTTGAACTAGAGCTAGTGAGACATTCAGACAGTTTAGGTCTATTTTGGAGCACTGTAGAAGTAGATTTGAACTAATTGGTTGTGCCAGAGTTGATTGCCTTGTACCTAAATTTGAACGCGTAGCTCTCCTCGGGTATGCCCCATCTTGGATAACTTTCTCTTCAAAGCTTTGTCACAGGTGTCTGGTCACACGTTTGTTTCTACAGGTTCAAGGAAACAATAGAAAGCCTAGATGTGTTTTGGAAAGCAGTTTTCTCTAGTGTTAGAGCTGCTTATCAAGCAAGATAGGTGCCCYGAGCATTCCGATTAGTTGACACTTAGCATTTAGTGGCCATCAGTCCTTGTTATCAGACAAGGTTCCCCTGCCTTCCCGTGTCCGTGGAGAATGCGCGTTAGTTGCTTGTTTCTTTGAACAAGTGACAAATGCAGTTGAATGAACCAGAACTTTATTTACAAAGCTGAGTACAGGCTAGACAGATTCACACAATTAATTCAGTGTGGAGTTGAGAAATTATTGCTGCTGTTCATTCCAGAGTGCTCCAGGACAATTCCCCCAGCATGGGCTATGACTGGTTCTCTTAGCTCTTAAAATTTTCATTTGCTTGCAGGGGCTGACTTCCTTTATTTGTCACGGCTGGCACTTGTTATTCCAAGCCACTGAAAGATGTTGTTTGCAGAGCTGAACAAAAGTCCATAGGAATCGAGCAGAGCGTAGTTCTCGTGTTGTCACTAAGTTAATTTACTGTTACTATTCTTTCAGTACAGCCCTGCTGTTGCACTYGGTGTCGCTCCTTGGAAGAAAATAATGTCTGAAGAAAATAATGTCTGTTTTTATTCATTTGCTTATCTTTGCCTGCAAAAAAGCAACAACAACAAAAAAAAACAGTCTCCTTCCTGCGCTAATTTTTCCTTTTTTTGGTTTTCTGGAAAGGAGTGAGTAGGGAAATAACTCAAGTTTTTCAAGACACGGGTTTGGTGGTTTGAGGTGTGACAGGCTTATCCTGTCCTGCCTAAAACTTAGTTTTCTGTTCAATTGCTGTGAATTTGAGTAGGGCGAATTGAAGCTGCAGAGAGTGTCATTCTGGTGCGTGATCCTCTAGTCTCGAGCAGCTCGGTTGAGCTGCACCTTGTCTGAAAAAGCCGCCGTTTCCACATCTCCTTGGGTCTTCAAACTTGTTAGGCTATTATGGAATATAATGGCATTGCAGCCCGCCTTCCTGGACACACGTGGACCGTCAGGAAAAGGAGAGTGCAGTTGCACAGGTTACCAGGTAGGTTGTCTTGATGGGGGGCAGAATTACCTGTGCTCCAAGGAACGATTGCACGGGTGCTCATGCCGACTTAGGGCTTTTACTGGTGTGTGGGATTGGGGATTGCGGAGGGGAGTGCTCTTCAACCCGGCGGTTGCACTGTAAAGAAAGTAGCAGATAAATTTTCTTCCTTTCTAGTGTTTGCYATCCTAAATTCAATACTTGAGTGCGCTCTGGTGCCTTGAGCGATAAGGTCTCATTAAGTCACTTTCCCAGTGGTTCAGGTTGATCTGATAATGTGGTTCATTTATTCAAGTGAGAAAAGTGCCCAAGTTCTTCCTTCTTATCTGTCATTCCTTGATTCTTGAGTGTGCAGCTATGAAAACATGACAAATGTCTTTATAGGAATGCATATTTCTTCGGGGCTGACTTCGCTCTCTGGCAAACCATGGAGATAGGGTTCTTCTTATGCTTGGCATACTTAAACTCTTGATGAGATCCCGTGGACTTGAGTTTTAATTTCAGTTGTGTGTTCACTTCCAAAGCAAGGAAGTGAAATAAGGAGGTGCTATACTAATTAGGACACATAGAATTTCAGAAATCATTCTAAAACATGATTTCACAGCACCCATGTTAAAATAAAGGAGTACCTGCATTTTGATTTTACTGTCTTTTAATGACTTGGAGACCTAAACAGATCATTAAGCTTTTGCTGGTTTTATATAGATATCAGAAGAGATGATGAGGCAGGAAATAACAATGAGACAGCTGAAGAATTGTACAGAGGCATCCTGTAAAACAGTGCAGTTCTGTGCTGTAAGTCAATGGTGCTGTCCCGTGAAATATGGGCAGAGACTGGACTCCACTCATCTGTTTTACCATGAAAGCCAACTGCTGCTTGAAGTGGTTAGGATGGAAATTTGCTGTGTGCAGTTATCCCATGCTTGCCTTTYTCAGACTTTCTGGGAGGTTTCAGAGGCTTTAGCTGAAATAASACAGCGTCCAGCGAGGAGAAGATCGGATGCAATGCATCCTTACGCTCCAGCGTAAGGGCTTGTCACCCACGGTTGTGTTGGTACCCAAAGGCACGTGCAGTGCTCTTTGTGGTATGCCAGCAATTTGTTAACAGAYSTGCTTTGCTTAATGCTCTATTCRCAGGAACGTGCGCCGGCCTTGACCTGCTTTTCAGGAAGTTCTGCAAAAAACATCGTGTGTTAGGAAGCTCCRTCCTTGTGTGTTTGCACAAGTGCTYGGAGTGGTTCCGGTAGCATCCACTTTGTGAGCGTCACCCGCTGCCAGAGGGACGCCCCCTTCCTCTCCTCCCTCCCCTCACCTCTTTCCCTCTGCCTCGCCTCTGCTTCCTCTTCCTCTTCCTCTTCCTCTTCCTCTTCCTCTTC